GAAATTTACAACTAATAACACTTTTTGGAAAATATTGTACAAATTTGAGTTTTGTCGTGTGGTGGCTTGATTATCTTTGATTAGAATGGACGGTAGCATCAGCCACTTGCAGATGGTTTCTATTTTGTTAAAAAATTTCAAAACGTGTTGGTGGTTGGTCATTATTGGAATTTGTTGTCGTCGACCGGACAAATGAAGTAAAGTGTGAGGTAAATATTAGTTGGCCACGTAATAGCAAATACAATTAGTTATTTCAATTGTCTTAATTAAATTTCTTCTTTGTATATGTTCTTGTCGTTTTTCGTGTGAAAGCATACAGATAGAACAAATTACAATCACCATTCATCCACGTGACCATGAGCGCCGCTTTTTGTTTTTCGGTTTCCCAATTTTTCGTCATTTCAACGTTGGAATTCTTCAATTTCTCTATTTTTCACTTTTGCAATTCTTGAATTTTCCGATTTTTCAATTTTCCGATTTTTTAAATTTTGGGTTTTTCGATGTCTCCTGTTTTCGATTGCCCGATTTTTTGATTTTTTACCGTTTCGACCTCGCAATTTTTCAATTTCTCGATTTTTTAGTCTCTCAATTAAATTTTCCGATTTCTAAATTGAAGATTTTTCAGTTTTCAAATTTTTAGATTTTTTTGGGTCAAGATTTCGTGGTTTTGCAATTTTTCGATCTGTCGATTTTCGGTTTTTCGGTGTTTCGATTTTTAAAATTTTTGATTTTCCAATTTTTTAATTTTTCAGTTTATAAATTTTTCGATATTTTAGTTTTTCAATTTCTCAGTTTGCAATGCTTTATTTTGGGATTTTTCAATTTTTTGATTCTTCAGTTTTTCTTCGATTTTTAAGATTTTCGATTTTTCCGTTTTGGGATTTTTCAGTTGACGATTCTGGAAAAATGGTAGTAATTTTCGAAGAAATGGAGATGAAAATAAATTCTGGAGGTGGAATTGTACGAAAAAGTGTCTTGGATTAATTTTCGAAGGTGTTTGAAGAACGGTCAAAAGTTTCACAATGGAGGAGTATTGAAAAATTAGCTTTTGGAAAAGTTGCCAAAAAATCTACAAAAAATTCGGAGATGCAGATCTCAACGTGCTAATTATAAAAATATAAAAATTTTCTTGTTCAGAGCAAGATTTTTGAAACATTCGGTTTGAAAACCACTTTTGTTAATAATTCTAAAAATTGCCATATTTCAACGGGTGATTCTGCAAAAATGGTAGAAATTTTCGAACAAATGAGGCATAAAATAAATTCTAGGGTTTGAATTCTAGAAAAAAATGTCTTTAACAAATTTTCGAAGGTGGTTGAAAAATGAAAAAAAATTATAAAGAAATAAATAAATAAAAAAAAAAGAAAAATTGAACTTTCGGAAAAATTTTCTAAAAATTCTGGGATATTTGACTTCGACGTGCTAATTTGAAAAATGCAGCGTGTTTATAGTTCTTGACTAAAATTTTCGAAATACTTATTCGGTAAGAACGTACAATTTTAAAAAAATCCTAAAATTTTCGTGCTAATTCGAAAAATATAAAGGTTTTCTTGTTCCAGAGCAAGATTTTTTAAACATTCGAATAATCGAATCATAAAAAGTGCTATATTTCATTTATATTTTTAATTTTTCGATTTTGGGTTTTTAAATTTTAGATTCTTTGATTTTTCAATTTTTCGATTTTTTGATGTTTCGATTTCTCAATTTTTCGTTATTTTAGTTTTTCAAATTGTAAAACGTTAGATTTTTAGATTTCTCGATTTATTGATCCTCCAATATTTCTGTTGTTGAATTTTTTGGATTTTTAAATTCCATAATTTTCAGGTGTTTGATGCTTCGATTTTTCGATCTTTCGAATTTTCGACTTCTTGCTTTCAGCTCAAGGGTTTTTCAATTTTTTGATTTTTAAAATTTTCGATTTTTCAATTTTTAATTTTTTTCAGTTTTTCAGTTTTCCGATTTTTCAATTTTTCTATTTTTCTGCTTTAGCGAGATTTCGATGTTTCGATTTTTTCAATTTTTTAAATGTTCCATTTTTTATTTTAAAGTTTTGAATTTTTTAATTTTTAACTTTTCGATTATCCATTTTTCAACTTTTCCTTTTCCACATTTTTTTACGTTTCGATTTCTCAGTGTTTCAATTTGTTAATTTTTCCAAGCTTCTATTTTTCAATTTTTCGATTTTTTTTCGGTTTCCTAATTTTTCGTCATTTCAATTTTGGAATTCTTCAATTTCACGATTTTTCACTTTTGCGATTCTTAAATTTTCCGATTTTTTAAATTTTGGATTTTTCGATGTCTCTTTTTTTCGATTACTCGGTTTTTCGATTTTTTAACGTTTCGACCTCGCAATTTTTCAATTTCTCGATTTTTCAGTTTCTCGATTCAATTTTCCGAATTCTAAATTGAAGATTTTTCAGTTTTTAAATTTTTAGTTTTTTTTGTGTCGCGATTTCGTGGTTTTGGTGTTTTTCGATATCTCGATTCTTCGGTTTTGCCGTGTTTCGATTTCTCGATCTTTCGATTTTTTGACTTCTCGGTTTTAGATTTTTCAAATTTCAGATGTTTTGGTTTTTCAATTTTTTGATTTTTAAAATTTTTGATTAACCAATTTTTCAATTTTTCAGTTAATACATTTTTCGATTTTTCAGTTTGCAATGCAATTTTGGGTTTGGGTTTTTCAATTTTTTGATTCTTCAGTTTTTCTTTGATTTTTCAAATTTTCGATATTTCTGTTCTGGGATTTTTCAGTATTTCGATTTTTCAATTTCCCAATTTTTTTTATTTCAATTTTGGAATTTGTCAATTTTTCGATATTTCAGGCTTTCGGTTCTTCAATTTTTCGATTCTTCCATTTTCCAATTTTTAAAATTTTTGATTTTTTCATTTCCGGATTTCTCGACTTTTTAAGGTCTTCTCGTTTTCCCGATTTTTCAATTTTGCAATTCGATTTTTTGATTTTTCAATTCTCCCATTTTTTAAATTGTCCATTTTTCGACTTTAATTTTTAGAGTTTTTGACTTCTTGGTTTTCAGTTTTTCAATTTCTCAATATTTCGATGTTTCAGTTTCCCGTCCGTTCAATATTTCGATTCTTCAACTTTTCGATTTTTATTTTTCTCATCTTTTTACTTTTTCGATTTCTAAATTGTAGATTCATTCATTTTTAAATTTTTCAATTTTTTTGTCATGATTTCGTGATTTTTCAATTTTTCGATTATTAAAAGTTTGATATCTGAATTTTTCAATTTTTAAAATTATAGATTTTCTTTTCCTTTTTTAATGCTTAGATTTCTCGATTTCTCAATTTTTTGATTTCTGGGTTTTAATTTTTGAATTTTTGAATTTTTCGAATTTTAAGGTTTTTATTTTTCGATTTTTTAGTTTTTAAATTTTTTGATTTTTCAGTTTTTAGATTTTTGAATGTTTCGATTTCTAAATTGTAGTTATCTCCATTTTTAAATTTTTCAATTTTTTTATGTCATGATTTCGTGATTTTTCAATTTTTCGATTAACGGGATTTCGATGTCTGGATTTTTCGATTGTCCAGTTTCCCGATTTTTCGATTTTTCAAGTTTCTGATTGTTTTTTAATTTGAAATTTTTAGATTTTGTAATTTTTAACATTTTCGATTTTGGGCTAGAGGGATTTCTTAATTTTTCGTTTTTTTTACTTCTCGATGTTTGAGATTTTCGATTTTTCGATTATTCAAATTTTCAATATCTTAATTTTTTTTTTAAATTATAGATTTTTCAGTTTTTTAATGTTTAGATTTCTCGATTTTTCAATTTTTTGATTTCTGGGTTCTAGATTTTTGAATTTTTCAATTTTTCCAATTTTAAGGTTTTCATTTTTCGATTTTTCAGTTTTTAAATTTTTCCATTTTTCAGTTTTTAGATTTTTCAATTTTTCGATTCCCCAATTTAACGGGAATTCGATGTCTGGATTTTTCGATTGTTCAATTTTCCGATTTTTCGATTTGTCAAGTTTCCGATTTTTTTTTAATTTGAAATTTTTAGCTTTTGTAATCTTCGATTTTGGGCTAGAGGGATTTCTTAATTTTTCGTTTTTTTGACTTCTCGATATTTGAGATTTTCAATTTTTCGATTTCTCGATGTTTTATTATCCAAATTTTCGATATCTTAATTTTTCAATTTTTAAAATTATAGATTTTTCAGTTTTTAAATTTTTCGGTTTTTCAGTTTATTGATGATTCAATTTCTCAATCTTTCGATTTTTCGACTCTCGATTTTACATTTTTTGGTTTTTCCATTTACAATTTTTAAAATTTTTAATTTTTCGATTTCCCAATTTTTCGTCATTTCAGTTTTGAAATTCTTCAATTTCTCGATATTTCGGTTGTTCGATCATTCAGTTTTCGGATTTTTTAATGTTTCGATTTTTTAAATGTTGGATTTTTGGATTTCTCAGTTTTTCGATTTTTCAACGTTTCAACCTTGCAATTATTTGATTTTCTCTTATCTCGATTTCTCGATTTTTGAGTTTTTTAGTACAATTTTTTGATTTTTTATTTTAAATTTTCGGCTTTTCGACTATGATGTTTAAACTTTTCAATATTAGTGTTGGCCACGTAATAGCAAATACCTTTAGTTATTTCAATTGTCTTAATTAAAATTTCTTGTTTGTATATGTTCTTGTCGTTTTTCGTGTAAAAGCATACAGATAGAACAAATTACAATCACCATTCATCCACGTGACCATGAACGCCGCTCGTGCAGACCCCAATTAACCTCTTATTTACAGTCCCGTCGATTTGTAGCCCTTCCTGCAAACTATAAAAACCCTTTCCCCGAGCTTACAGCGAATAACTTCCGGTAAAAGCCAGCAATACCATCGCTCACGTTATTTATCCTTCCGCCCCCGCTTACGGCATCTAGGTGGAAACCCGTGACATTTTTATCCAGCCCATATACCCCGTTATTAAACCTACTCAAATACATAAAAGCCGAATGTACCGCCGAAAATAAAGTGCCGACTCACCGATTTTTACGTCGTGATCCAGCTGTCTGGCGATGGTCGGCACGACCGGAATGACCCTCTGGCTCTCCTTAATCACCTTGTCCAGAAATTGCATCTTGAGTACGTCTTGCGGCGTGATCGGCCGGTCCTCCCCCTGGAAAATCTCGTCCAGTTCTTGATGGACCTTTTCCTGAAAAGCATTGAAACTTCAGCGATTACTCGAACGCTTTGAAGGGTAGCGCAGCCCTTACGGGTGGATTTACGGTCGCTGTATTGCTATTAGGGGAAATTTAGCATAAAATACCGAATGAAATTAATGACTCGGAGGGCCATAAAGGAGACTCTTAATAATTGCAACAGGCACGGCCGGAAGGAGAGATATTTACACGTCATTCGTTCCGCAACGTATCAGATTGTTAGGGGTGTTTAGTACATTCGGTAAACGGTGTCAGGGAGGTTCGTTATGATGTTTAATAACGAATGGTACGGGGAGGTTTTACGGACTGGGTAATTTATTACGATAATGGAGGGTTTTCTATGTAGGTACAGATTTCGAAAACAACACGTTGGGTATTAATAAGGTGCTGCATATTCAACGGATTAGTGCGAGCTGTGTGTGGCGAGATATTTGTTTGACTAACACTTTCATGTATAATAAGTTTCACATGTATATTTCGGATGCGGAAATCGGAAAATGGAAAATCGGGCAAAATCTGGCCGAAATTTACTCATTTTGTAGAAATCCGAAAAGTTGAAAAGTTTACACAACTGACCTGTTGAAAAGTCAAAAAATTGTAAAAATCGAAAAACCGAGATGTCAAGAAATCGAAGCAAAAAATCGTCTCGAAAAATCAAAAAACTGAAAATTCGAAAAATTGAACAAAAGGAATATCGAAGAACTGAAAAATCGAGAAATTGAAAAATTCCGAAACTGAAATTACGAAAAATGAAAAATCGGACGAAAAATAGAAAATTCGAATACCCGAAAAGTTAAAAAACGAAGAAATCGAAAAATTGGTAAATTGAAACATCGAGAAATCGACACACTAAAGATCGTTAAATCAAGTGGAGAAGTCAAAAAATCCAAAAATTGCGAGATCGATATAGCCTAAAATCGAAAAGTTAAAAATTAAAAAATTGAAAAATTAAAAAAAGACGAAAAGTCGAAAAATCGAAAGATCGAGAAATGATAACATACAAAACTGAAAAATCCAGAAACTGAACAATCAAAATATCGAAAAACCGAAATTTGAAAAATTTAAGAACTGAAAAATCGAAAAATTAAAAAATTTAAAATTCAAAAAATTGAAAAACCGAAAAAGCTTAAACCGAGAATTCAAAAACTCGACAGATCTAGAAATCGAAACATCAAAGACGTGAAAATTGAAAAATCGGAAAATTTAAAATTCAAAAGTTGAAAAATGAAAATAAAAAAAATTAATTATAGAAAAATTGAAAAATCTATAATCGAAAAATGGAAATTGTGAAAATCTTAAAATTGAATTATCGACAACTTGAAAAATCGATGAAAACTTGAAGAAATTGAAAAATCAAAATTTGAATTACAAAACTGAAAAATCGAGAAATCGAGACCTTAAAAAGTCGAGAAATCGAGAAATGGGAAAATCAAAAATTGCGAGGTCAAAACGTTAAAAAATCAAAAAGCGGAGAAATCTAAAACAGTAGACATCGAAAAATCGAAAATTTAAAAAGTTGGAAAATTGAAAAATCGTAAAATTGAAGAATCGCAACAGTGAAAAATCCAGAAATTGAAGAATTCGAGAACTGAAATGACGAAAAATTGGGAAACCGAAAAGCAGAAAAATTGGAGCATAAAAGTCGAAAAATGGGAAAAAGGAAATTTGGCAAAATTGATAAATTGAAACATCGAGAAATCGAAGCGTCAAAAAAATGTGGAAAACGAAAAGTCGAGAAGTTCAAAAATCGGAAAGTTAAAAATAAAAAAATTCAAAACTCTAAAATAAAAAATGGAAAACTGAAAAATTGAACAAATGAAAAATCGGAACATAGAAAACTCGATAAATCAGAAAATCGAAAAATTGAAAAATCAGGAAACTGGAAAATTAAAAAATTTAAAAACTGAAAAATCGAGAAATTGAGAAATCGAGACCTTAAAAAGTCGAGAAATCGAGAAATGGGAAAATTGAAAGGCCGAAACGTTGAAAACTCGAAAAACCGAGAAGTCGAAAACATGAGAAATTGAAAAATCTCAAATTTAAAAAACCGGAAAATTGAAGAATCGAAAAATTAAAAATTCCAAAAATTCCAAAACTGAAATGACGAAAAATTGAAAAGGCGAGAAGTCGAAAAATCGAAAAGTTAAAAACTGAAAATCTGGAAAATTAAAATATCGACAAATTGACGAATCGAGGAATTTATAAATCGAAAAATCGAAATGCCAAAAAACGTAAAATTGAAAAATTTAAAATTTGAATAATCGAAAAATCGAAAAATTGAAACATCGGGAAGTCAAGAAACGAAAAATTAAGAAATCTCTCTAGCCCAAAATCGAAAAAGTTGAACGTTACAGAATCACAAAAATTTCAAATTAAAAAAAAAATCGGAAACTTGAAAAATCGAAAAATCAGGAAATTGAACAATCGAAAAATCCAGACATCGAAATACCGATAAATCGGGGAATCGAATAATTGAATGATCGAAAAATTGAAAAATCCAAAAATTTATAAACTAAAAAATTGAAAATTCGAAAAACTGAAAAATTGAAAAATTTCAAAACTGAAAATTCGAAAAAAAAAATTAAAAAGTCGAAAAATTAAAAAAACCGAAAATTTAAAACCGAGAAATCGAAAAATCGAAAGATCGAATTAATAAAGTGAAAAATTGAAAAATTTAAAAATTGAAAAATCAAAAAATTTATAATTTAAAAGTTGAAAAATGAAAATAAAAAATGTAATAATTGAAAAATTGAAAAAGCAAGACACTAAAAATGGAAATATTTAAAAATTGAAAAATCCACAATTTAAAAGTCGAAAAATTGGAAACTCGAAAAAGTATAAGATCGGGAAATCGAAAATCCGAAATATTGAAAATCTTAAAATTGAAATATCGACGACTTGAAAAGTCGAAGAAAAATTGAAGAATACAAAAATGGAGAAATTGAAAAATCAAAATTCAAATTACAAAATTGAAAAATCGAGAAATCGAGACCTCGAAATTGCGAGGTCAAAACGTTAAAAAATCGAAAAACCGAGAAATCGAAAACAGTAGGCATCGAAACATTCAAAATTTAATAAGTCGGAAAATTGAAAAATCGGAAAACTGAAGAATCACAACAGTGAAAAATCCAGAAATTGAAGAGTTCCAGAACTGAAATGACGAAAAATTGGGAAACCGAAAAGCAGAAAAATTGGAGCAAAAAGTTGAAAAATGTGAAAAAGGAAATTTGGAAAAATTGATAACATGAAACATCGAGAAATCGAAACGTCAAAAAAATGTGGAAAACGAAAAGTTGAGCAGTTGAAAAATCGAAAAGTTAAAAATAACAAAATTCAAAACTTTAAAATAAAAAATGGAAAACTGAAAAATTGAAAAAATGAAAAATCGAAACATCGAAAATTCGATAGGCAAATCAGAAAATCGAAAAATTGAAAAATCAAGAAATTGAGAAATCGAGACCTTAAAAATTCGAGAAATCCAGAAATTGAAAGCCCGAAACGTTGAAAACTCGAAAAACCGAGAAATCGAAAACAAGAGAAATTGAAGAATCTCAAATTTAAAAGATCCGAAAATTGAGAATCGAAAAATTAAAAATTCGAAAATTCCAAAACTGCAATGACGAAAATTCGAAAAGGCGAGAAGTCGAAAAATCGAGAAGTTAAAAATTGAAAATCTGAAAAATTAAAATATTGGAAAATTGACGAATCGAAGAATTTATACATCGAAAAATGGAAACATCAAAAAATTGAAAAATTCAAAATTTGACAATCGAAAAATCGAAAAATTAAAAAACGAGAAATCGAAAACGCGAAAAATGGAAAAATCGAATTCAAAAAATCGAAAAATCGAAGTCGAGAGATCAAAAACTTGAAGAATCGAAATATTGAAAAATTCCAAAACTGAAAAATCGAAGAAAAATTGTAGAATTAAAAACTGAAAGAATCTAAAACTGAAACATCGAAAAATTGAGAAATTGAAAAATTGAAAAATCAAAAAATCGAAAAATCGGGATCGAAAATACGAAAATTTAAAAAATCGAAAAACTGGAAAATCAAAAAATTGATTTGCAAAATTGGAAAATCGTGAAATCGAAAAGTCGGGAAATAGAGACTTTAAAATGTCGTGAAATCGAAAAATGACAAAATCCAAATTTTAAACAAATTGGAAAATTGAAGAATCGACAACCTGAAAATCAAGAAAATGAAAAATTCCAAAACCGAAATGACGAAAACTGTGAACTCGAAACTTCGGAAAGTCGAAAAGTCGAAAAACTGAAGAATTGCAATATTGAAAAATCCCGAAACTGGAATATCAAAAACTTGAAAAATCGAAGAAAAATTGAAGGATCAAAAAATTGAATAAAACCCACAAATGAAACATCGAAAAACTGGCAATTGAAAAGCTGAAAAATCAAAAAATTGAAAAGTAAAAAAATCATAGTCGAAAAACCGAAAATTTAAAGTAAAAAATCCAAAAATTGTACTGAAAAACGCAAAAATCGAGATATGGGAAAATCAAATAATTGCAAGGTTGAAACGTTGAAAAATCGAAAAACCGAGAAATCGAAAAATTCAACATTTAAAAAATCGAAACATTGACAAAGCGGAAAACTGAAGAATCGACAAACTGAAATATCGAGGAATTGAAGAATTCCAAAACTGAAATAAGGAAAAATTAGGAAATCGAAAAATTGAAAATTTTAAAAATTGTAAAATTGAAAAACCTAAAAAGTCTAAAACAGAGAAGTCGAAAAATCGGAAGATTGATAAATTGAACCATCAATAAACTGATAAATCAAGAAATCAAGAAAATCGAAAAACTGAAAAACTGAAAAATTTAAAAACTGAATAACGTAAAATTTAAAAACTTTAAAATTCGAAAAATTTATAAATCCAAAAACTAATATTGAGAAGTCAAAAAATCGAAAAATCGAGTAACCTAAACATTAAAAAACTGAAAATTCGAGAAATCGAAAAATCTATAATTTCAAAAATTGAAAAATTAGGATATCGAAAATTAGAATAATCGAAAAATTGAAAAATCACGAAATCGCGACATAGAAAATTGAAAAATTTAAAAATGAAAAATCTACAATTTAGAAATCGAAAAATTGCAAAATCGAAAAAGTAAAATGATGAGAAAAATTAAAAATCGAAAAATTGAAGAATCGAAATACTGAAAAGTCCCAAAATTGAAAAATCAAAATCTTGAAAAAATAAAGAATCGAAAAATTGAGAAAAACCCAAAACTGAAACAACGAAAAATGGAAAATTTAAAAAATGGAAGAATTGAAAAATTTCATTGCAATTGCAAAATTGAAAAATCGTGAAAACGAGAAGTCGACAAATCTAGATCTTAAAAAGTCAACAAATTGGGAAATGAGAACATCCAAAATGTAAAACATTGGAAAATGGAAAAATCGGAAAATTTAAGAACCGAAAACCTGCAATATGGAGAAATTGAAAAATTCTAAAACTGAAATGACAAAAAATTGGGAAATTTAAACATCGAAAAGTCGAGAAGTCGAAAAATTGAAAAATGGAAATACTGAAAAATCCCAAAATTGAAATATAGAAATTTTGAACATTCGAAGAAAAATTGAAGAATCAAAAAAATTAAAAACTCAAAATCGAAGCACTGAAAAACTCAAAAATCAAAAAATTTATAAACTGAAAACTTGCAAAATTGAAAAATCAAAAATTTTAAAATTCGAAAAATTGAAAAACCAACAAATTTGAAATTTTAAAAATCGAAAAATTGAAAACCAAAAATTCTAAAACCGAGAAATCAAAAAATTGAAAGATCCAGAAATCGAAACATCAAAAAACTGAAAATTCGAGAGATCGAGTAATTGAAAAATCACGAAGTCGCGACATAAAAAAAATCGAAAAATTTAAAAATTGAAAAATTGAATTGAAATACCGAAAATAGAAAAATTCAGAAATCGAGAAATCGGAACACTGAAAAGTCGACAAATCGAGAATTGGAAAAATCAAGAAGTCGAAAAATCGATTAATTGAGACACTGAAAAATCGAAAAATTGAAAATTCAGAAACGCCAAAAGTTGAAAAATAGAAAAATTGAAGAATTAAAACATCACAGAAAAAAAACGAGAAATCGAAGATTTGAAAAATCTCAGAAAAATTGAAAAATTAAAAAATGAAAAATTAAAAAACTGAAAAATCCCGAATCAGAAACATTGAAGGAATGAGAAATCGAAAGTTAAAAAATGGAGGCATCGCAATCTCGATAAATTGGTAAATTTAAAAACTGAAAAATTGAAAAATTAAAAATTCAAATATTTTAAAAATCCAAAAATCTACAATCAAAAAGTCGAAAAATCAAAATATCGAGAAATCGAAACATCAAAAAACTGAAAAATCTAAAATTGAAAAATCGAAAAGTCAAAAAGTAAAAAATCGAAAAATGGAAAAACCGAATAATCAAAAATCGATCGATCGAGACATCCAGACATCGAAAAATCGAAATCTTGTAGAATCGAAATACTTATTGAAAAATCCTACAAAATCGAAGAAAAATTGAAGAATCAAAAATTGAAAAAACCCTAAAATTGAAACATCGAAAAATCGAAAATTTAAAAAATCGATAAATTGAATTGAAAAACTAACAAATAAAAATCCAGAAATCGAAAACACTAAAAAGCCGAGTAATCCATAAATGGGAAAATCGAGAAGTTGAAGAGTCGAATCGTCGAAATGTCGAGATATCGAGACATTGAGAAATCGAAAAATCGAAAATCTAGAAACCTCAAAAATTGAAAATTTGAAAAATTAGAAGAATTAAAAAATTGCAAAAAAAATAGAAACTGAAAGATAGTAAAATTGAAGAATCTCAACATTGAAATATCGAAACATTGAAAAATGAAGAATAAAATGTGAAAAGTCTCAAAACTGAAACATTGAGAGAATGAGAAATCGAAAGTTGAAAAATAGAAACATCGAACAGCTGAAAAATCGAAAATTGGAAAAATTGTTGTATCTATAATTTTGATTTTTTCCAAAAATTTCGATATCTCGTATAAAAATTTAACACGGATTAATAAATTGCAAGATGACGTCGTCAATTCCTGCACAGACAGACAGACAGACAGAAACGAATTCAGCAGAGCACACTGATGATTAAGTATGTGCTAATTTAAGCAAACTACATCTGCGGAGAAGTCTGCTTGTACAGGTGCTTTAATTATCACGGGGTTACCGACACCGGCGAACTCCGGGGTGCCCCCGCCCTCGCAAATCTCCTCGCCAATCTCACACCTGATTTGACAGTTACATCACGTCCCGGTAAATATCCGGCACGACAGGAAATGACTCGGCGCCACCTAGCGTTATTCTTTTCGTCATCTTCTGGCAGGCCCGATCGGAAATTCCCGATTCGAAACAGCACTCGTCATTTGTTATAACGCCGCACGATTTATTTACTTCGCCTCCAATTCATTTCCCGCATCAATATTTATTACCTGGTACTCGGGGTGGTTCGACAGCGTGAGCAGCGTCCAGCTCACGGTGACCGTGGACGTGTCGTGACCCTGAAACATACGACGAAAAGTAATAAATAAGTTTTCCGGCCACGAGGGCTGATGTGACGAAAAAATATGTAATTCTGCCAACAGTTTTCATAAAGGAGGAAAAGTTTTTTTCGCCAAGTTCGAACGATGGAACTAATCGGAAGGGGAGTTTTTGTGTCCGGTCTGACAGAGCCGGGAACATTTGTACACATCATAAACAAAGTTTTTCTGTAATCTGTTTCTGTATGTGGTTTTTGTAAAAGGGGATAATTGGGGGCAGCGGACGGAAAATGGGGACGCTTCAAAGGGTTGCGGACGAATGCAGGTTCGGGGATTTTTACTGAAGTTCATTGAGCGACTTCAGGTTTCGGTGTTCCGATTGTGGAATTTTAGTGTAGCGTGACGATTTCCCTAATCGCGTAAACAGTTTTTAAATGCGATGCGCCGCCCCCGTTTCCTTCCCAGCCGTCACGTGCCAAGGTTTTCCGTGATTAATCTCCCTCTGGGCAAAAATGTATCCGTATAATATATGAAAAGCACATAACAAGAATCTCGTTAAATTTTTCCAAAGAACTCGTGTCCGACCGAATCCGCGTTTTTGCCTGCTTTCCGGCCCTTATCAATCTGGGAGCAAATCCGTTTCTGTCGGTGCTCGACGTTCACAAGAGTAATCGACGTTGGTGGATGCAACTGCAAGCCAGGAAAATATAGGAAACTTTTATCCGCTCCGACGAAATAAAACCACCCCATCAATCGCTTTACATAAAGGAAATTTAAAGCAGTCAGAACGCAGTATATGAAGGTCCGCAAAAACGGCTCAAAGCTCAATTTATATCGACATCAATCGCGACGAGTCGATTCCGCACGAAAAACCGACCGAAGACACAAAGGATTTCGCCGGGAAATGGATGGACACTTACTAATTTCGCGCCAATAAAATTCTGCAAACCCCGTTGTTTTTAGCCTCAAAGTGGCGCCCCGGTTTCTGAATACCTTGCTTTTGAAATATTCTCGGCAGGCCTCTCCGACCCTCCAGCAAGTCAAATTACCCATCGTCCGGTAATTCCGCCCGTTCGGTTAGGAAAATAAAAACTTTATAAACAACGAACAACTGGACCTTATCGTTATCAGAATTACCGGCATCAGGCGGCTTTATTACGGTCAATGGCACTAAATGCAGACCGGGGTGTATTAAAAGAAGAGCCGAAAATATTCGTCTGGGGAGAATGGCCGATGGGAATGATAGAAATCGACTTTATGAAACAATCCCAAATGGGACTTTAACATTAAATTCGAGCCGAAATTGCCGGAAGATGTTTTATAACGGGACATAATAATCCGGGACCGCCTCTAGTTTTTGCATTTAAGCACCTATATCTGCTTACAATTTAATTTTCTATATACCAGCCCAACCTCAATTTACAAACTTTGTTAAACTTTATCGATCCGGGCGGTTCCGGAAAGTGCCGGAGGGCTTTCGCCAAATATTCTGCGGCTGCCGCACTTGCATAATTTCGATCAGAAGAGGAGAGAATCGGACGAAAAAGTGGAACGATGACTTAAACAAAGCTGTCCTTAATCTCATCGGATCTGTGCCTAACCCAAGAAGATTTTAGTACTATGTAAAAGCATATGTTCTAACTCACATTCAGAAAATGATGCAAATTATTCAATTTTCACCCCGATTTCAAGTTTTTTAACGTAAAAAACCATAAAATCAATGAAATATTCCATAAATTTTACACCTTTTTTATGTTGTCATTTTTTTTTCCCAAAAAAAATATGGAATGTACACCAGTTTTCAAGACAGTTATGAAAAAGTTTATTTCCAACTTGTTTTTTTCAACTCATATGATGCCAAATGAAGAACCCGTAACAGAAATCGAGGTAGATTCGGAAAATTTTAAAATGTTATCTAATCAGAAGAAAATTAAATTTAATATATTTATAGAAAAAAAACAATAATGAGTACACGATACTAGAAACCGAACAAATTGTAAACACGTTGAGTGCTGATGGTGAAAAATATCATACCCATGGTGAAGAAATTAATTTTAATCTGACGGAAGATGAAGAATTTTAAATTCGTGGATGTAGTCTAGTCCACTCTACTCGAATTTAAGAAAAATTACTGTTACTTTATTAATAAAATTACCTCATAAGGAAATGAAAAAACATATGAAAATATTCTTAAAATTTTGTTGATTTTGGTATATACCTAATTCTTAATAAATTGACTTTTTGTCATTCCACATTCTTGACATTTCGAAACCATTCGTTTCTTATTATTTTTTGTAAGAACAACGCGCGGATTAATATTACCCGTTTTTCTTTTACATTTGACACAATACGAATTCATTTAATAAATTAAAAAATTACAAACTAGAAGAGACAATATGCAAATAAGCAGTAACATCATATATTTCGTACGCTTCTTCCCCATACATGTCAGTAATGAAAACTTTTATTTCTTGAATTTTATTTAAACTTGTATCAACAGGAACGTATAACAAATTATTTGACCGGAATAAATTTTCACCCGATAGTTCATTTTGAAAGACTTGTAATAAATTTTCTTCTACGTGCCTTTGCCTATTATCATGCGATTCAAAGCTTTTACCAGCAATGTTACATTGTATATGATAAATGTTTTTACCTAACAAATTTCTCTTAGTAGCAAATTCAGTTTTTTCTCTAAAAAAGTTACCAGAGTATTTGAACCCTAATAACATACATAAATGTTTATCAAGTTTAAAAGGTATATCTGACTGAATAAATATTTTAAAATCAGTATTAACATATATCTGAAACTTGAAATCATATTTTCGTTCTTTAATTTTTTTTTTGCTATAACATTATTTAATTCTTTTAAATTATAATTACCGGTGAAAATGTCTATCCACGTCTTTTTAATTTCAAATTTGTGATTTATATTTTCTTCCATATACTCGTTTTTAAAACCTAAATATTTACATGTATGTTCATCAAATTTAAATTGTAGTGGTGAATAAATAGTTTTATTTTTTAAGTCTAATTTGAACTTGCTTTCACTATGTCTAGTAATGTTGACAAATGTTTTGTCGACGTTTACCTTATTATCTAAATCATCTAGAGAAGTACTAGATATTTGAAGTTCTTTTTCAATCGTTTCTAAAATACGCGAGCACTTTGATCCCATAGAATTCAGAAAATCAATATCATCATCAAATTCTAATAATTGTCTTGTATTTTCTTCAAGTGAAAACAAAACAGGTGAATTAATCACGAACTTACTGTTTTTATAAGATATATCAAATTTATTTAGTTTTGGAGTTTTAGGTAATTTGGAAAACTCTGGATTTTGATTTATTAATTGATTTATCTCTGGAAATACTGACGTTATTAACGTATCTTTTTTCATTGGGTATCTTATTTCCTATTTATAATTAAGCTTATTCTGATCTTTATAAAAATAAATTACAAAATCTGATGTTAGTTTTGGAATATCATTTTTAATATATTTAAAAGATATTGTAGTTGTTTGTGGTTTTGAAATACCAAAATCAATTCTACCAGGTTCTCTTAAATTTTTAGCTTTATAAGATAAATGTGTTAATGCTATCTTGTAACTGCGATTCCTATCTAAATGAATATGATGTTCTAAATAAAGTCTACCGTGTTTCAGAATAAAATTGCTCATTTAAATGATGAAAAGATTCGGACAAAAGCCGATAAAAATTAAGCCTGCCCCTTTTGATACTAAGCCAAAGTATACGTCTATGTTTCCTGTTCCTTTAAGATGGTTAATTATTGGTTCTAGTGGTAGCGGAAAGACTACATTATTGTATAATTTTATAACATTAGATTGTATTAAATTTGACCACATCTATATTTTTACAAAAACATTATAACAACCGATTTATAAATATTTTGTAGAAGAGTTTGGTATATATAAGAATTTTCTATTTTTATATAATTGTTATGATGATATGATTGATTTAGAAAATTGTGAACTAAATAGTTTAGTGGTATTTGATTATTGTTTATTTGAAAACCAAGATAAAATTAAAAGTTATTTTACAATGGGTCGACACAAAAATATTTCTTGTATTTATTTAACACAGTGTTACTCTAAACTTGATTTACAAGTAATTAGAAACGATGCAAATTTTATTTCAATATTTAGACAAAACAAACACTACACCAAAAAGATTTATGATGATTTTTTTTACATAAATAAATGCATTATATACAACTTACAGAAGCTCAAGAAAAGAAAATTAAGGACAATATAAACAACAAAGGAGGTATTACAATAATGCTTTCAAAAACAAAATTAAGTTATTAATGACTGATACTGATTCATTTCTTGTTCATATTGAAACCGATGATATATATAAAGATATAGAAAATGATATTAATTGGTTTGATACTTCAGACTATAAAATGGATTGGATGCCAAAACAAAATAAAAAGGTTCCCGGATTGTTTAAAGATGAGTTTTTAGGAATACCGTTACGAGAGTATGTGGGATTAAGATCCAAAATGTATGCTTTCAAATATGATGAAATGCAAACAAAATATAATAAAGAAAATAAATCATTCATAACAGAAATGAAAGAAAAGAAAGTATGTAAAGGAATTAAACGACAAAATATTGAGAAAATGAGATTTGAAATGTATAAAGACTGTTTACTTAATACAAAAGAAACATACGAAGAGGTATATAATATTATGTCAAATGGGTTAAAATTATATACAGTTAAAACAAATAAAATAGCTCTATCTCCATATGATGATAAAAGATATGTCATAGATAAAATAAATACTGTACCTTATGGATACTACAATAAAGATAATTGAAGTTCTTCTTCATAAATTCCTTTTTTAATTTTTTCGTTGGAATCAGATGTCTCAACCTTATACCAAATTTGATCTCCTATAAAAACATCATGAATCTTATATATTTCTTTTGTCGAATTAGTTTTTAATTTATTGCGAAACGTATCAACAAGCATAGATAATCTAACTCTGTCGCCAATTTCAAATTTTGTTTTTTTAGTAGTAGTTTTATAATTGTATACAGTACTTAGTAAATTTTTTTCATTATTTTTATTTACATCAGTTGGCTTCATTTTAATTGTTCTATGATAACTATTATTATACTTTTTAATTATTTTAGGTAATTCAATTATCCATGGTTTGTTTTGATAAATAATAATTTTCAATTTGTTTCCAAGAGTTCGATTAAATCGTTCAATATTGATGCTTTATTTTCAGTGCCGGTACTATATATTTGAATACTGTTTTTATCTAATAATTGTTTTACGTCTTTGTTATAGAATTCTTTTCCTTTATCAACATGTAATTTTTTTGGAAATCTTTTTGATTTTTCAAATATAGTTTTAAAACCATCTGCCACTTCTAATCCGGTTTTTGTTTTTAGTGGAACTGCCCAAACATATTTCGAAAAAGTATCAATAACAACTAAAATATATTTATAATTATTATTTTGCCTTAATAATTTTTTATAATCGTTATCAACTGATTTATGTTGAGTTCTTAAATTATATGCATGATCTTCTAATTTTCCCTTTGGCCTGTAAAAGGAATAAAAATCAGCTTGAAAAGTATCATCTATTCCTTTTTGAATAAAATGTCGTGTAGTAAATCTTTTTCTAAATGGTTTGAATAATTCTAAAATTTCAATTTCCTCAGGTGATTTGGAAATATTATTTTTCACTGATTTACAAATTCTGCAGGTTGATATTCTTCGCCACAGTTTTCTTTTTTTATCAAATTTTGGTTCTCCTGTAGATTTAGTTTTTGTTTTACATAATTTACAATAATCCATTTAGTTGGTAATAAACTGACTTTTATCTCAGAATCATATATATGAGTTGAAAAAAACAAGTTGGAAATAAACTTTTTCATAACTGTCTTGAAAACTATTGTACATTCCATAATATTTTTTTTTTGGGAAAAAAAATGACAACATAAAAAAAGTGTAAAATTTATGGAATATTTCATTGATTTTATGGTTTTTTACGTTAAAAAACTTGAAATCGGGGTGAAAATTGAATAATTTGCATCATTTTCTGAATGTGAGTTAGAACATATGCTTTTACATACTACTGATTTTTCACACTTAGGAGTGTCATAAGTGGTCATTGTTTTAATTTTCGTCCAGTGTATTATTATACAGACATGTACAACTTTGTAAAACGCTTTTCCCGTTTATTTAATAATAAAAAATATCGTTCCGGCCTCCCGACCGCCTCACTTAATTAAACGCTCAGCCGCCATAAAAATCAACCCCAGTCAAATCCGTGCCGCCACCCTTCCAATAATATCGTTATTATGAAGATCGGGATTTGCCCGTTCGAAATCCGAACCGATAATTAATGAACAAAGTTGCCGGTCCGACCTGGCCGGGGTAATTTATAGACATTATAAGATCTATCTGTGCCCATTGTGTTACCACTTGTATTGTGCGAAGTTCTCTCAAATCGACCGAAATGCATGTCCGACTACCGAATGAGCAATCGCCCCCCACTACACCCCATTATTCGGGAAAATTGCCCCACCAGACAAGTCGTGACGTCATCGTGAAATTATTATTAGTTTTTCATTGCGCGAAAGCAGATTTTTCCGCAAGACAATGGACCGAAGTTTGGAGAGGGCGTTTTTTGGTTGCGTTGGGGAAGTTTGAAGATAAAATTGTTCTGATTAATTGGGTTGTGAATGAAAGGGGTTGGGTGTAGAAGTTTGCGGGGTAAATATTATCACGTGGGGTAGATTCGACCACCGAAGGGCTATAAAGTTGCGGGTTTACAACATAAATGTGTTTATCGTATTTTGTACAAAACGTACGGTGTTTTTATGGTAATGATAACCTAAATTACTTCATGTAATTAACGTGTAGTGCGCGAAGCGCTCAGGGGTCAGCACTCGGTCCTACATGTTTGTTACAATACATCAACGATCTTTTATATGTTTGCAGAATTACATATTTTAGCTCGCTGCGCTCCACCGATTCAGTGTGTACTTACGGCGAACATGAAGGTGTCGACTTCCTCCCGGAGCTCCTCGTCGGCCAGTCTGTTCTCGCTTTTTTCGTTTGCCTGGAGCAGGAGGTCGAGGAAGGCCAGACGCTTCTTTTTCCCCAACAATTTGTCCTCTTCGCTCAGTTCCTGCATGACGTTTTCCCCACTTGTTAGTTTCTCTTTTCTTTCTTGTATCACCTTCGAGAACACGAGTAAATATTTAAATGGCAATTATCCTTGCAAATTGCTTGGGAATTTTTTGCGGGATTACGTCGGAGAACGAACGATTGGGGTAAATGCCTTTGGTTTCCAGGAAGAAAGCGTTTTTGGGATTAATTTCTCCGTGAATTTAGTTTGACGGTTGGTATTGCCGTTCCAGGGAACGACTGCTCATGCCGATGTGTTTCAACAAAGGAGGGGGTAATTAAACCGGGTGTTCCAAATTCGGATAATTTAAATACGTAATGTATTTATGAGTTTACATTTATGAGATGGTTCTGTATTTTGACATTCAAATACATAATTTATTTATGGAAAAAGTAAATTATCATAGAGCGTCTGCATTTGTGCGCAGATTCGGAAGACGCTGGAATAGAATGAATAAATAATTAGGTCTTGGGAGAGCAATGAACGAACTCTCATTCAGAGAAAAATGGAAGTTGAAAATATCAAACAGTAAAGGAGACACGAGTGATTAAAAGTACGCCAATATAAAGTTGTGTCGGAAAAAAATCCCCTAGAAGAACGAAAAAACTTTATGTACTGTACTGTGTGTCGTGCTGTAGCCAACTACAATTACTTCGGAGACTTGTTCCAGCGCATTAACCCACTTGGGCGACTTTAAAATAAGCGAACAAACATAAAAAAGTTCGACAAGTTCTGTACGTTTCAGTTTGACCCGGAATTTCAAAAGTTGTTGAAATTGGGTTTCAATATTGAGGATACAAGTTTAGGGAGTTCGGTGTGTTCCCTCGGGAGAAGAGACAAAAAGCTTGGGATGATGTTGTAGTATAAAGCGGGTAATTATTGTAGAACCTCGTGGAATATTCAGGCGCGGACATGCAACAAGCAAATTTTATCCCAGCAATTTTATCAGCAAATTGAACGATTCAATTTTAGAAGAAAGTCGAAGTTAACTGAAGTTGGAGAAAGGTTCTCCAATGATAAATGATCTCGGAAACAAGTGTCGGTGTTGAAAAACTCCCGCAAGTTTCATTTGATTAAGTGGCAATACCGTAATAGGAAAACACAAAGGAATTGTCGAGCAAGCCTCTAACTAGCTACAAATAGCAGAGTTCGCGTTCCATAACACGCCGACAACAAAAACGTAAAATAAAAACGAATAGAGAGCATTTATAGAATTTTCCCCAGTCGTTTCATTTTATTAAAAACCAAACTTCAAACAGCAAAAATATAATTTTGTTTTTCACTGAAGCGCCTCGTTCGTTCTCCATATGACTGAAACAAATCAATTTCGCAAAGAGCCAATTAAAAAAATTCAATTTCAGATACAACATCTCGCTGAAATAATCCTTTGTGATGTTTTTACGTTTCGACGATCTTTCAGCGTTTGTTGTAGGATTTGCACAAATTGCTCCCGCTAGAACCGGTTTTACAAAAGCGCCTGTTAAAAACGACCGCGTCTCGAACTTAATTTTGCGGGTGTTTTCGTGTGATGATCGAAAGTGGCGTGGTCGTCAGCAATTTTGCAAATTCGGCCCGGAACAATGCGTTTTTAACCGGATCAAGTTCTCGGAAGACCCGAATCGTAACAATCTGCTGGCATCATCCGGGACGATTAATCAGGAATGGTATTAATAATCCGGGAAACGATGACCTCAAATTAATTTCGCGTTCGCCAGCCCCAAATGTATCGAGCGGGTGTAATGCTCATTTGAGCCGTCTGAAGTCACCCCATTTGATGGCGGATGGATTAATAATAATCCCCGACGCGTGTTCGCAACCCCGGATTGCCGAACGGATGATATACCTTTCTGGTGAAGCCATGCAGAATTGACAGGTACTTCTTCTGCTGGCGGCCTCTGGATGATAGCTTGAATATGAAATCTGGATGCAGATAGGGGTGGAACATGCGGTACAGCATTATGTCTAGTATCCTGGAACACATCGGATGATTAGCATGCATGAATTTCGCGTACCTGTGAAGGCTTCAAAGCATAATCGCGTTAGGGGTGGAGAGTAAATTTGCACTTTTTTAATGGGGTGGAAGGAAGGGTGGGCGGGCGGAAAGTAGCGGTGGCGAATTTGATTTGTGAGGGCGGGTGCCAAAAGTCGGATCCGGGTAAAAGAGGAAGTTCAAATCATTTTGACATTCAGCTCATAATTCTCCCAAAACGCTTGCAAATAATTTTTTAAAAATTTGGAAACCTTTTAAAAGAAAATACAACAATCCGAGTAATTTGAAAACTTCCTTCTACCACGCCCCCACTAAAACTAACAGCTTCATCTTTATAAAAGCTCCATGAAAGCTCGAGAAACTCACCCGTAAACAGCCCGGACATATTCCGAGTTCGAGTCCTTCATCGCGTTGACTTCAACTCCCATGGCGGTCTCTGCAACAATAAAACATCCATAAAAGCCTCGCCGGCATTTTCATTATGGTTTGATAGTCTCGTATACGTCTTATTTTATAGTTTTAACGCTTCGTAACGAATCCTGACATGTGTCTGTTGTCTAGCGTGATGGACGTTTTCCTGAACAACAACAATAAAAACGCTCAACAACGGTCTTTAAAATAAGCCAAACTTTTCCAAGATCTGCGGCTTATAAATTTATTTGACAGATATTTGAAGAAACTTCGGCAATGGGTATGTTTTATGAACACTCGACTTCCGCGGAATAGAATCAGCGGAGCGAAAACCAGTGGCGTCTACATCGGTTTGTACGATTGGTGCCGCAACCACAATTAAATAGTCAAAGTCAGTTGAACCCTAGTTTAAAAAATCAAAAATTCACGTCTCCAATAACTGAATATTTTAAATTTCGTGGAAGGGTTTGACGCGGCTGGGGAGCGAGAGGGTGTTTACAGGTGTGTTCGGTTCAAGGTTTAGTGGGAGCGGCCGAAAGTTTTGGGGTGTAAACTTGGGGATGTCATTAGGAAAATTAATAAGAACTTTATTAATTTCAGGTGTTATTAAGCATAGAAATGTTTGTTGAATGGAGATAATGTGGAGGGTGGAGAAGTTTCAAGGGGCGGTTGAGGTGTGCGCTTGAAGGGGAAATATATGTACAGGTTTTTAGAGTGTTATTTTTGTCCATTCAAAAATTAAACTACATTAGTAAATTGGTCAGAAATTAATTTTTAATGAGACACAATGTTTAATCAAGTATGATACACATAATTTTCTATAGTGCGTTTACTCAACTATTATCGATTCAGACGTTTAGTCAACGTTCGAGGGTCAAAATGTTCGACCGAACCAAACCAAACGTGAAAACCTTCCAAAAATTCTTCAACTATCATAAACGCATTTTAATCCAGAGCCAGATTTTTGGTCTCGTTTCTTTCACTTGCACAAATCAGCATTTTCGGTCGTCGAAACGACAAAAATTGTGGATCGTCGCTCTCATTTTGATATATTTATCGCTCACTGGGTATGTAATATACGCACACTTCAGAGGTCAAGTCGAGAAAGACACTATTCCAAAAATATCTAATATAATAATCCTGAGCTGTTGTTCCCTCTACGTCAGCACCATCTGGCTTACTAGCTTCTTCAACGGCGAGAAAATCGGCGACTTTTTACAAAAAGTGGTGATTTTTGACGACAAAGTCCAACTAGAAAGCGCCAGATACCACAAAACCCAGAAACGAATTTTGGTACACATGGTGGGACGATTCGTGTTTCTGACGTTTTATATAAGTTATTTTCTCTTCATGGACTTTGCGACTAAAACCGTTGTAATAATCCTGACTGAATCTTGCGCTTACGTCCTGCTCGTAATGAATTCAGTAATGTGCCATCAAGCAGGCGAGTTAATATTGATGTTGCGCGACAGGTTCAAAGTCCTGAATAAAAGTCTGGACGTCTTGATCAGACACTACTCCTCCAATATTAACGTTATTTTGAAAAAGAAACCTCCATTGATGGCTTTGAACACAATTTGTACCTTGCACCACCACCTGTCCAAACTCATCAAAATCTTCAACGAAATCTTCGGTGTAGTGCTCCTCTTCATGTTCGGAGTCAGCTTCATCGTCATAGTTCTGGCCCTGTTCTTCACGAGCGGCGAACTGCAGAGGCCCGGAGGCATAAAGTGGTTGGATGTGTTCTACATGCTCATGACCTGCGTCAGCTTTGTTATAGACACCGTGTATATGTGTGACGTGTGCTACTCCACCATACAAGAAGTAAGCTCTAGCTCAATATCAATTTTATTTTAAATGAGAATAGAGTGTGCAACGTAAATGTTGGTCTTGATTTTTATGACTTCGATTTGTTGTAGGCGAGCAAATCCGGCGAGCTCATCCACAAAATAGAGACCGAGGAGCACGACCTCATCGACGAGATCGAGATGTTCTCGCTGCAGATCGCCAACGAGCAGGTCGAGTTCAACGCGGCTGGATTTTTCCCCATAAATTACACTCTGGTGTTTTCGGTATGCGATTTGGGTTCGGTTTAGGTCTGGCATTTCGCGGTCGAATTGGATTACAAATTTTGCGTCATGCCGGATGACCACAGAGTGATGCGTGACGCGGCGATGAAATGTCAGATCTAATTGGAAGCGGGATGTTAATGGGGGTTGTAATTGCAGATTATTGGAGGAGTCACTACGTATATTATAATATTAATACAATTGTCGGCTACACTGAGGGAGTAGCGGATAATGGGGTCGGCTGAGATGCTTGTCAGTGGAGTGGTGTCAGTCATAGAAAGGAGTTACGGAATTAGGGGAGATAATTTGATATTATTGCGACTAGCTGTGTTGAGGGATCAATAAAGTGTAAAAGTTGAGGGGATGTTCTTGGGTAAGTCAGTCGGGGAGTATTGTGGCGGATAATTACGTCAAACTAGCGAACCGGCTGCTTCGAAATTCGGTATTAAGTTGCACTTTTTTATTGAATAGGGAGCAAATCAATCGAAAACTGCAGCATAAAACGTCTTGGTCGTAAATCGTCGGTGCATTTCCGTACTGCAGCTGACACCGTTCTATTTACTCCGCGGAAACAAATACACACGACTTCCGATCCGTAATGCCCATATCTTCCAAGAAAATTACATTCTCATCTCCCTCAAAGACAGTTGCAATACTCACGGCTCAATTTCCGCAATGCACTGAAATCGAACGGCAAAGTGCCAATCTTTGAACATAATCATCTTCGGCTGACGTCTTATTGGAAACTCGCAAGAGTAATAAAGAAGTTAACGTCTTAAGTTGGAAGAGCTAACGTTTCCCATTCTCAGTACACTGTATTTCATAATACTTTACGACGCCTTGGAGCGTCTTCCAAGGTAGTTTTCAGCCGTGACAATTTTACGAAAATCTATGATTTAATGATCTCTTTAATCCGATTCGATGCCTCCTCTGAATAACTCCGATAAACGATAAAACGCATTCAAAGTGTTTGATTTTGTATGGAAAAGCTCGTAAATTGGTCGAGATTCCATCTGTAGTTAGCGGACTAAAAATCGGGTCTTTAAAATGAGGGATGGCGCAGGATGTTTTCCGCGATATAAAAAGTGGAATTCGATTTATTTTTATTCCGGAGCAGAAAGAAATTATTTCGATTGATATATGGTAGTTTTTTGATGGGAAAACTCGTCGCGTTACCTAGCTAGCACCATTCGGAGGTTTTTTTCGTGGTTGATTTACGACTTGTCGTTAACATAATTGACTGTTTTGTACCACAATAAAACGTTAAATGCGCCCAAATATTTACCTAACAACACAATTACCGTAATGAAGACACTCTCACGCAATGAACTCTTTATTAAGTCATCGGAGCAGACAAAATGAGCACGAATTTTTTTCGCCGATTTCTCGGTACAGTCAATTTGCTTTTAATCCACGGCCAAATCGTGGGTCTTGTCACTTTCACCCACGACAGAAAGAAATTTCAGTCGTGTGCTTGGAGAAAGCTCTATAGTGTTTTTTTAATTTTTGTCAAGTTGGGTTTTGGGGGTTTCTGTATGTACGTGATTCCGACTATCACTGGAGTGCCTAGTATTTACAAAAACACAGGGTACTTAATAATGGTGGCTAACACTACCTATGCTGTCACCATTTGGGTTTCTAGCATTCTAGGCAGCGACTCATACATCAAGCTTCTAGCAAAGATTATCGATTTTGATGTCCAACTTCAAACCAGTTGTGTTATCATCGACTATAACAAAGCCAAAAAAAAGGGAGCGTTACACCTTCTGGGACGGTATGTTTTTATGACTGTCTTGTGCGTCTACTACCACTTCAGTCGGGCGAGGCCCCAATTTGCCGAAAAAATAACAGAAATAGCATTTATTTTTCTGATTGTTTTGAACTCAGCTGTCTGCTATCAAGCAACGGAGCTAGTGGCGACTCTAAAAACTCGCTTCGTGCTTTTGAACAAGCAAATCACCACTTTGGTCGAATCTTCTACTACAACTGTACCAAAAGTCGATCCTCAGCAAATCCAGAAGGACTTCGCTATTTTGTGTAAAGTTTGTACCTTGCACCACCATTTGTCCAAATGCGTCCGGCGCTTCAATCAGGCTTTTGGTGTCATTTTGCTAGCAATGTTTGCTGCTAGCTTTAACTGTATTGTTCTTTGCTTGTTCTACACTAGTGTTGCTTTACAAATGACGGTTCTCAATTGGGATGAGGTGTTTTATACAGCTGCTGCCAGCGTACCTTTCATCGTTGATTCGATTTTCGTGTGTCACGTTTGTTATACAACCATAGAAGAGGTAAGGTCGTAATTTGTAGCTTTTTGAAATTGCTTGATTTTTCAGGCGGATAAAGCTGGAGAGCTTATCCACAGAATTGAAACCGAAGATCACGACACGATCGACGAAATCGAGATGTTTTCTTTGCAAATGGCTAACGAAGAAGTCGAATTTAGTGCCGCTGGGTTTTTTCCGGTTAACTACACTTTGGTTTTTTCTGTGAGAGGTTTGAAAGAAAGTGTGAATTTGTTAGAAGATGTTGCTTTTTAGATTATTGGAGGTGTTACAACGTACATAATAATTTTAATACAGTTGAGTGCTACTATTGGCAAAGACCACTGAAACCTAACTGAAGTAATTAATCACCAAACGAGTTCGAAGAAGTGGTAATTACAGGTTAGACAAAACAGTAATTACGTGATAAAAAATAGACGATTTAATTAGACCCCTTCAATAAATTAAACCATCGATCTGTTATTGCTTCAGGATCATTGAGGCAGTTAAAATTCACGTCACTTGAAGTAAAAACAACACCCTGTATGAGTTGTAGTTGCTTTACGCTTGCATTTCGCATAATTGCTCGCTCATGTTACCCAGATATTTACAGGCGGTATATGACAACACAATTACGATAATGAAAACACACCCAGTACATGAAACCCTTATTAATTCGTCACACTAGACAAAATGAGCCGAAATTTATTCCAGAGATTTCTTGCTACGATTAGTCTGGTTTTACTCCACGGTCAGATCATAGGACTTGTCATTTTTGCTTCAAATGGAAAGAAACTCTACTCTTCTATGTGGAGGAAGCTATACACTATTTCTGTACTTTGTATATACTTAGCTTTTTCCGTTTTTTGTATATATACAATTCTTGGTGTTACTGATGTACCTAGTGTTTATAAGTACTCAAGTTACATAATACTAGTGGGTAATGCACTCTATGCCGTCACCGTGTGCTTCTCCAGCATAATCATAACCAAAAAATACAAGCTTCAAAAAAAAATTATAGACTTTGATGTGCAACTTCAAACCACTTGTGTTATCATCGATTATAACAAAACCAAGAAACGCACAATTTGTCATCTTCTGGAGCGCTACATTGTGATTATTTTGCTCAACATCTACTACCATTGGAGCATGGAGAGGTCCCAATTTGGCGAAAAAATGGGTGAAGTGTCAGCGTTTTTTCTTACGATTTTCAGCTCAGCTGTGTGTTATCAAGCGATAGAACTAGTTTGGGTGTTACAAACTCGCTTTATCATTCTGAACAAGCAAATTAACACTTTGGTGGCATCTTCAACTATGGCTATAGCAACAACTGATACGAAGCAACCTCAGAAAATTTTTACCACTTTGTGCAAAATCTGTACCTTGCACCACCATCTGTGCAAATGCGTCAAGCTATTCAACGAAGTTTTCGGCGTCGTTTTGCTAAGCATGTTTGCTGTTAGCTTTGTCGTGATAGTTCATTGCTTATTTTACACTAGTATTGCTTTACAAAGGAGTGTTATGAATTGGGCTGAGGTTATTTATGCAGATAATTCTAGTTTAAGTTTCATTGTTGATTCGATTTTCGTGTGTCATGTTTGTTATACAACGATAGAGGAGGCAAGTTAATTTTTTGTGGTTTCGTGAAACAGCTTTTTTTGTAGGTAAATAAAACCGGGGAACTTATTCATCGGGTTGAAACTGAAGATCACGACACCATTGACGAAGTAGAGATGTTTTCTCTGCAAATAGCGAATGAAGAGTTGGAATTTAGTGGTGCCGTTTTCAGCCGTGACAATTTTACGAAAGTCTATAATTTAATGATCTCTTTGACCCGGTTCGATGCGGCTCCTGAATAACTCCGAAAAAACGATAAAACGCATTCAAAGTGTTTGATTTTGTATGGAAAAGCTCGTAAAATGGTCGAGATTCCATCTGTAGTTAGCGGACTAAAAATCGGGTATTTAAAATGAGGGATGGCATAGGATGTTTTCCGCGATATATGTAAAAAGTGGGAGAAATTCGATTTATTTTTATTCCGGAGTAGAAAAAAATAATGTCTATTGATGTATGCTAGTTTTTTGATGGAAAAAGGCTACCTAGTTTGCAGTATTCCGAGTTTTTTTTTGGTTGATTTACGACTTGTCGTTAACATAATTGACTGTTTTGTACCACAATAAAACGTTAACTGTGCCCAAATATTTACATAACAACACAATTACCGTAATGAAGACACTCTCACGCAATAAACTCCTCATTAAGTCATCGGAGCAGACAAAATGAGTACACATTTTTTTCGCCGATTTCTGTCCACAGTGAATTTGCTTTTAATCCACGGCCAAATCGTCGGTCTTGTCACTTTCACCTATGACAAAAAGAAATTTCAGTCGTGTGCTTGGAGAAAGCTCTATAGCGTTTTTTTAATTTTAGTCCACTTGGCTTTTATGAGTTTCTGTATGTACGTGATTCCGACTATCACTGGGGCGAATAGTATTTACAAAAATACAGGCTACATAATAATGGTGGCTAACGCAGCCTATGCGGTCACCGTTTGGTCTTCTAGCATTCTAGGCAGCGACTCATACATCAAGCTTCTAGGAAAAATGATAGACTTTGATGTCCAACTTCAAACCAGTTGTGTTATCATCGACTATAACAAAGCCAGAAAAAGAGTGGCGTTTCATCTTCTAGGACGATACGTTTTTGTAACCCTCTTGTGTGTCTATTACCATTTTAGTCAGGCGAGGTCCCAATTAGCCCAAAAAGTTGCAGAAGTAGCAGCTATTTTTCTCATATTTTTCAACTCAGCTATCTGCTACCAAGCAACCGAATTAGTGACAATATTAAAAACTCGCTTCATGCTTCTGAACAAGCAAATCACTAGCTTGGTCGATTCTTCTACTACAACTGTACCAAAAAACGGTACAAAACAAACCCAAAAGGACTTCGCTATCTTGTGCAAAGTTTGTACCTTGCACCACCACCTGTCCAAATGCGTCAGATTCTTCAATCAAGCTTTTGGTGTTATTTTGCTAGCAATGTTTGCTGTTAGCTTCATCAGTATTGTTCTTTGCTTGTTCTACACTAGTGTTGCTTTACAAAAGACAGTTCTCAATTGGGATGAGGTGCTTTATACAACTGCTGCCAGCGTACCTTTCATCGTTGATTCGATTTTCGTGTGTCACGTTTGTTATACAACCATAGAAGAGGTAAGGTCAGAATTTGTAGCTTTTTGAAATTGCTTGATTTTTCAGGCGGATAAAGCCGGAGAGCTTATCCACAGAATTGAAACCGAAGATCACGACACGATCGACGAAATCGAGATGTTTTCTTTGCAAATGGCTAACGAAGAAGTGGAATTTAGTGCCGCTGGGTTTTTTCCGGTTAACTACACTTTGGTTTTTTCTGTGAGAGGTTTGAAAGAAAGTGTGAATTTGTTAGAAGATGTTGTTTTTAGATTATTGGGGGTGTTACAACGTACATCATAATTTTAATACAGTTAAGTGCTACTATTGGCAAAGACCACTGAAACTTAACTGAAATAATTAATCACGAAACGACCTCGTAGAAGTGGTAATTACAGGTTAGACAAAGCAATAGTTACGTGGTAAAAAATAGACGATTTAATTAGACCCCTTCAATAAATAAAACCATCGATCTGTTATTGCTTCAGTATCATTGAGGCAGTTAAAATTGACGTCACTTGAACCAAAAACGACACCCTGTATGTGTTGTAGTTGCTTTACGCTTGCATTTAGCATAATTGCTCGCTCATGTTACCCAAATATTTACAGGCGGTATATGACAACACAATTACGATAATGAAAACACACCCAGTACATGAAACCCTTATTAATTCGTCACACTAGACAAAATGAGCCGAAATTTATTCCAGAGATTTCTTGCCACGATTAGTCTGGTTTTACTCCACGGTCAAATCATCGGACTTGTCACTTTTGCTTCAAATGGAAAGAAACTCTACTCTTCTATGTGGAGGAAGATATACATTATTTCTGTACTTTGTATATACTTAGCTTTTGCCACTTTTTGTATATATACAATTCCTGGAGTTACTGATGTACCTAGTGTTTATAAATACTCAAGCTACATAATACAAGTGGCTAATGCACTCTATGCCGTCACCGTTTGCTTCTCCAGCATAATCACAACCAAAAAATACATCAAGCTTCTACAAAAAATTATAGATTTTGATGTGCAACTTCAAACCACTTGTGTTATCATCGATAATAACAGAACCAAGAAACGCACAATTTTTCATCTCCTGGGACGCTACATTGTGATTGTTTTGCTCAACGTCTACTACCATTGGAGCATAGAGAGGTCCGAATTTAGCGAAAAGATGGGTGAAGTGTCAGCGTTTTTTCTTACGATTTTCAGCTCAGCTGTGTGTTATCAAGCAATAGAACTAGTTTGGGTGTTACAAACTCGGTTTATCATTCTGAACAAGCAAATTAACACTTTGGTGGCGTCTTCAGCTATGCCTATAGCAACAACTGATACGAAGCAACCTCGGAAAATTTTTACCACTCTGTGCAAAATCTGTACCTTGCACCACCATCTGTCCAAATGCGTCAAGCTATTCAACGAGGTTTTTGGCGTCGTTTTGCTAAACATGTTTGCTGTTAGCTTTGTCGTGATAGTTCATTGCTTATTTTACACTAGTATTGCTTTACAAAGGAGTATTGTGAATTGGGCTGAGGTGATTTATACAGCTACTTCTAGTTTAAATTTTATTGTGGATTCGATTTTCGTGTGTCATGTTTGTTATACAACGATAGAGGCGGTAAGTTAATTTTTTGTGGTTCCATGAAACAGCTTTTTTTGTAGGTAGATAAAACCGGGGAACTTATTCATCGGATTGAAACTGAAGATAACGATACCATTGCGGAAATCGAGATGTTTTCTCTGCAAATAGCGAACGAAGAGTTGGAATTTAGTGGTGCCGTTTTGAGCCGTGACAATTTTACGAAAGTCTATGATTTAATTTTCTCTTTGATCCGGTTCGATGCCGCTCCTGAATAACTCCGAAAAAACGATAAAACACATTCAAAGTGTTTGATTTTGTATGGAATCTCGTAAATTGGACGAGATTCCATCTGTAGTTAGCGGACTAAAAATCGGGTCTTCAAAATGAGGGATGGCGCAGGATGTTTTTGCGATATATGTAAAAAGTGGGAGAAATTCGATTTATTTTTATTCCGGAGTAGAAAGAAATAATTTCTATTGATGTATGGTAGTTTTTTGATGGAAAAAGTCTACCTAGTTTGCATTATTCTGAGTTTTTTTTTGGTTGATTTACGACTTGTCGTTAATATAATTGACCGTTTTGTGCCACAATAAAACGTTAACTGTGCCCAAATATTTACATAACAACACAATTACCGTAATGAAGACACTCTCGCGCAATGAACTCCTCATTAAGTCATCGGAGCAGACAAAATGAGCACGAATTTTTTTCGCCGATTTCTCTCCACAGTCAATTTGCTTTTAATCCACGGCCAAATCGTCGGTCTTGTCACTTTCACCTATGACAAAAAGAAATTTCAGTCGTGTGCCTGGAGAAAGCTCTATAGCGTTTTTTTAATTTTAGTCCACTTGGCTTTTATGAGTTTCTGTATGTACGTGATTCCGACTATCACTGGGGCACCTAGTATTTACAAAAATACAGGCTACATAATAATGGTGGCTAACGCAGCCTACGCTGTCACCGTTTGGTCTTCTAGCATTCTAGGCGGCGACTCATACATCAAGCTTCTAGGAAAGATGATAGATTTTGATGTCCAACTTCAAACCAGCTGTGTTATCATCGACTATAACAAAGCCAGAAAAAGAGTGGCGTTTCATCTTCTGGGACGATACGTTTTTGTAACCATCTTGTGCGTCTATTACCATTTTAGTCAGGCGAGGTCCCAATTTCCCGAAAAAGTTACAGAAATAGCAGCTATTTTTCTCATATTTTTCAACTCAGCTATCTGCTACCAAGCAACCGAATTAGTGACAATATTAAAAACTCGCTTCATGCTTCTGAACAAGCAAATCACTAGCTTGGTCGATTCTTCTAATATAACTGTACCAAAAATCGATACAAAACAAACACAAAAGGACTTCGCTATCTTGTGCAAAGTTTGTACCTTGCACCACCACCTGTCCAAATGCGTCAGATTCTTCAATCAAGCTTTTGGTGTCATTTTGCTAGCAATGTTTGCTGTTAGCTTCATCTGTATTGTTCTTTGCTTGTTCTACACTAGTGTTGCTTTACAAAAGACAGTTCTCAATTGGGATGAGGTGTTTTGTACAGCTGCTGCCAGTGTACCTTTCATTGTTGATTCGATTTTCGTGTGTCACGTTTGTTATACAACCATAGAAGAGGTAAGGTCATAATTTGTAGCTTTTTGAAATTGCTTGATTTTTCAGGCGGATAAAGCCGGAGAGCTTATCCACAGAATCGAAACCGAAGATCACGACACGATCGACGAAATCGAGATGTTTTCTTTGCAAATAGCTAACGAAGAAGTGGAATTTAGTGCAGCTGGTTTTTTTCCGGTTAACTACACTTTGGTTTTTTCTGTGAGAGGTTTGAAAGAAAGTGTGAATTTTGTTAGAAGATGTTGTTTTTTAGATTATTGGAGGTGTTACAACGTATATCATAATTTTAATACAGTTGAGTGCTACTATTGGCAAAGACCATTGAAACCTAACTGAAGTAATTAATCACGAAACGACGTTGTAGAAGTGGTAATTACAAGTTAGACAAAGCAATAATTACGTAGTAAAAAATAGACGGTCTAATTAGGCTCCTTCAATAAATTAAACCATCGATTTGTTATTGCTTCAGTATCATTGAGGCAGTTAAAATTCACGTCACTTGAACTAAAAACGACATCCTGTATGTGTTGTAGTTGCTTTACGCTTGCATTTAGCATAATTGCTCGCTCATGTTACCCAAATATTTACAGACGGTATATGATAACACAATTACGATAATGAAAACACACCCAGTACATGAAACCCTTATTAAGTCGTCTTACTAGACAAAATGAGCCGAAATTTATTCCAGAGATTTCTTGCCACGATTAGTTTGGTTTTACTCCACGGTCAGATCATCGGACTTGTCACTTTTGCTTCAAATGGAAAGAAACTCTACTCTTCTATGTGGAGGAAGCTATACACCATTTCTGTACTTTGTATATACTTAGCTTTTGCCGCTTTTTGTATATATACAATTCCTGGTGTTACTGATGTACCTAGTGTTTATAAGTACTCAAGCTACATAATACTAGTGGCTAATGCACTCTATGCCGTCACCGTTTGCTTCTCCAACATAATCACAACCAAAAAATACATCAAGCTTCTAGAAAAAATTATCGGTTTTGATGTGCAACTTCAAACCACTTGCGTTATCATCGATTATAACAAAACCAAGAAACGCACAATTTGTCATCTCGTGGGGCGCTACATTGTAATTATTTTGCTCAACATCTACTACCATTGGAGTATGGAGAGGTCGCAATTTGGCGAAAAAATGGGAGAGGTGTCAGCGTTTTTTCTTACGATTTTCAGCTCAGCTGTGTGTTATCAAGCAATAGAACTAGTTTGGGTGTTACAAACTCGCTTTATCATTCTGAACAAGCAAATTAACACTTTGGTGGCGTCTTCAACTATGGCTATAGCAACAACTGATACGAAGCAACCTCAGAAAATTTTTACCACTCTGTGCAAAATCTGTACCTTGCACCACCATCTGTCCAAATGCGTCAAGCTATTCAACGAGGTTTTCGGCGTCGTTTTGCTAAGCATGTTTGCTGTTAGCTTTGTTGTGATAGTTCATTGCTTATTTTACACTAGTATTGCTTTACAAAGGAGTGTTATGAATTGGGCTGAGGTGATTTATACAGCTAGTTCTAGTTTAAATTTTATTGTGGATTCGATTTTCGTGTGTCATGTTTGTTATACAACGATAGAAGAGGTGAGTTCATTTTTGTGGTTTCGTGAAATAGCTTTTTTTGTAGGTACATAAAACTGGGGAACTTATTCATCGGATAGAAACTGAAGACCACGACACGATTGACGAAATAGAGATGTTTTCGCTGCAAATAGCTAACGAAGAGTTGGAATTTAGTGCTGCGGGGTTTTTTCCGGTTAACTATACTCTGGTTTTTTCTGTGAGAGGTTTGAAGGGGAATTGAGTTTGTGTAGAAATTGGTGTTTTTTAGATCATTGGGGGTGTTACGACCTACATTATAATTTTAATACAGCTGTCGGCTACTCTTGGCAAAGAGCAATTCAGTTTGTGAAAAAAATATCATTAGATCTTAACAATGCTATCTTACTCTAGTATATATAGAATATGGGTGATCAGAATTCGAGTGCTTATTGTAATCGTATTGTAGAAATACTTTAAAGTTTCCAAAAAATTACAAAATTTAGAGATAAGTGAGGACTTACTGTCAGATCAATAATTAGATATAGATCAACGTTATAAACTGAAAAGTTGACATAATTATTGTGAGTAATATTAAAACCGCCCGTTTGACAACACTTTCAGTCAATACAATTTATTGATTGTAACACTTATGAAAAGTGCACACTCATCATGAAAACACATAACCTTAGAACGTTCTGCGACGTTTTCAAAATTATTTTCAACCAGTGCCAACTGCTTGGTCTAGTTACATTCACTCGCACACAAAACGGCCTAACACCATCAAAACTAAAGTACTTCGGAAATGTTTGTAGATCTCTTGTATTTACCACATTCGCACTCTACTACTTGTACAGATTTTTAATCGCACCAGGTATTTCAGTGCTGACAAAATGTACAACAACATTGGGCTACTGTTACGCACTTGTTTACGTAAATTCCGCCTGGTTACTGAGCGCCACGACCTGCCACAAGTTGATCCAATTCATTGTAAAAATAGAAGAATTTGACGCTCATTTCTCGTCACCGAAATTAACCTCACATCAGAACTATCGCAAAAAAATCCAAAAATTCTGGCTGGCCAAGCACCTCTTCCTTGTTATTTTTTTCAGTGTGTACAACGTTGGACGTGATGTAACTTTTCTCACGCTTGCGTCTTCTTTCCTGAGTTCTTTTTTCGTCATTTTCAATTTCGTCGTCTGTCAACTGACAACCGAGTTGGTTTTCGTGCTACATTTTCGATTCGTGCTTTTGAATAGTCGGCTTATCAAACTCGGTCAACAACAGTCCAAGAAAGTGGTTGTAATATTTGGCGAAATTTGCTGTTGGCACCAGCACCTATCCAAACTCGTCGAACTCTTCAATGACATTTTTGGCGTGGTTTTGCTGTTTTCGTTTAGTTACACTTTCATCGTTTGTACCGTTTTATCGTTTTATATAGCCATCGAGCTTCAGGGGAGTGAGACGAACTGGCTTTTGGTTGCGTATTTGGTGTTTGTTGCTTTGTTGTACGTTTGGGACGTTGTTCGTATTTGTGACGCGTGCTACAGGGCCGTGGAAGAAGTAAGTTTTTGTCTGTTGGTGGTAATTATTTTTCTGTTTAGATTACGGCGACAGGGGATCTAATTCATAAAATTCGAACCGAAGATGTTGACTTTATTGATGGAATTGAAATGTTTGCTTTGCAGATAGCGAACGAACGAGCTGAGTTTAGTGCCGCTGGGTTGTTTCCGATAAACTATACTTTAGTTTTTTCGGTGAATAAATAGCAGGGTTGTTTGAGTATTTATTAATTCTGTGGAATCGTAGATGATTGGAGGGATTACTACATATATTATTATATTGTTGCAACTGGCAGCCACATTTAAAGAGTAAAAAAATGGTCGAAGGAATGGTGTTGCAGCTCAACAAATCTCGCTTCTTAGTAAAATTATAAAAAATTTTTGCGATTTTTGTTTCTGAAAACCTCTATAAAGTAAAAATAACACTTCCACAGCTTTTTCGATTTGAATTGTTTGGTTCTTCAATTCTTCGATTTGCAGTTTTTCAATTTTCTATTTCTAGTTTTCGATTTTGGAATTTTTTGTTCTCGATTTTTTCG